CCATGGCACTCTAGTTTAAAATCTTCCAATGGTTTCTCATTATGCAGAGATAAAATCCAGACTCCTTATCATAATCTACAACGTTACGTCCTAGATGATCCGGGTAATGACAGCAGTAAATGCTATCCAGTAATTTCTCTCTATTTGCACTCTTATTTACTGTACTCCAGACTTACTAGTCTTCTTATGATCACTCAGCCTCAGGGCCTTTGTACTTACTACATTCTTCTGCATATACACACTTTCCCAGATCTCTGCATGACATCATGATTCTTATTCAGGTCTTGGCTCCAACAAGACTGCCTCAAAGTGGCCTTTCCTGACTACCACTGATAAAGCGGGACCACTAGATACACTCCCTGCATGACCCTGTTTTTCTTCTTCAAAGCCCTTATCAGAAACCATGTTGCTTGTTTACATTTACCATCTTGATCAGCTAGAATGTAAGTTCTGTAAGTGCAAGGACACAAATTTTCTTTATTACTGTAGCTCCATCCCCATTGTCTAAACCAAAGTAGGTACTCAATAAATATACCTTAACTGACAATATTATTCTTAGCCACTGTAGTTTTTTAATTTCTTCCCCATAATCCTCTTCCACTCAACCTACTCTTCCTTCCTCATCCTTACTGCCTGTCAAAGACATCAACGGGGAATTGAAGCATAAGAAATCAACCCAAGCTCCAAAAACCCAAACCTACGAACAGCCCTGGCCAATCCCTGCCCCCTCCTGATACCCAGCCAATCACTCCCAAAGAAGCCCATTATGGTGGGAATGAACAATACAGCTTTTAGAGAACCTATAATTTTAGAAAGGTAAGCAAAAAAAGGTTCTAGAAATCAGAAAACACTAAACTGATCTTGGTCTATGCTGATACATAATAGCTCATCTGGCAGTCTCCACCTATACCTGGCAACTATCAAAACACTCTCAGATCCTTTTGTTAGCCTCTATGTATAGCAAGTATGGATTTCTTTAGGTTAACTTGCCTCCTGTGTAGGCATTTCTAGTACTCACAACGTCCACTTTTCTTTTCCTTCCTGAACTTCTGGGAGACTATACTTCCCATCTGCCTCGTAGTCAGAGGCACATGAGAGTGATTGTGGCCAGTAGAATATGGACAAAAATGTAAATGCACAAAATATGGACAAAAATGTGAATGCACATCACTTTCTGGCTTAGGCAATAAAAAGAAAGCTCCTGCCCAATTCTCCTATCTTTTCTCTTTCCCTGCTATGTTGACATGGCAGAGTCACACATCAACATCAACTAGGTCACAGTCACTTCATGGAGGACAACTGCTTTGGAGAGTGTCAGGCTTCTGAGAATTGGAGGATGTCATTACTACAGCATTGCCTACTCAGTCTTCCCTGACTAATGTATTTTTCCTTTTATAAAAGTAAATACTCCTAAGTAGTTTAAGCGCCAGAAGAAATTCACACGTGTGAATCAATTTGAGTCTCTTCCTTTAAACCTCAACCTTGCATCAGGAACTCTGAGAAAACAAAACAAAACAAACAACAAAAAAAAAACGTTGTTGTTACTGGATGGGAGGTACGGGAAATAGGAAAAATAATTTGGGGGATAAAATAGTAATACCTAGGTGCAGATCTGAAGGGAAAGCACAGCTTAAAGGAGGAGGCAGCATTAGATAGGAGAATAGACACAGAATAGTAGGAGTGTTCCATAATTGTGAGGATAGAAAATGTTTAATCTATATGCTAAACAATACATTAAAATTAGTACAACCAAGTCAGGGATCAGGAATCAAATGCTTACGTAATGCAAATGCTCCTCAACTTACGATGGGGTTACGTCCTCATAAACCCATTGTGAATTGAGAAGCATTTGTATTGCATAAGTTGAAAATATCTGAAGTCAAAAATGCATTTGACACATCTAACCTGTCAAACATCACAGCTTAGCCGAGCCAACCTTAATTAAATGTAGTCAGAACACTAACATTAACCTACAGTTGGGCACAATCATCTAACACAAAGCCTAATTAATAATAAAATATTAAATATCTCATGTAATTTACTGACTATTAAAACTGGACAACAGAATGGTTGCATGGGTACTACAAGTATGGTTTCTTTACAATGAATGGTGCATATCATTTTTGTACCATTGTAAAGAAATCCCAAGTTGAACCATCTTAAGTTGGGGACCATCTGTACAAAGGTTCTTAAGACAAGTTGATCTATTTATAAAGATTTTATTTAATTATATGGACATATACACACACATATACATATACATATCATACATATACACACATATATGTATTTAGGCTTGTCTTTTAAATTCCAGAAAGGGGAAGGAAACTATTCTCCATCAGTATTGTCAAAGTTCAAGGCCCCCAAATACAATCAATGCCATTACTATGCTAGTTCAGTTACTTTGGGGTTTGAAGGGACTTCTGGTTAATGCCTTAAGAAGGAATCAATCATTTACGTCATTTCTCCATAAATCATTATATCCTAACCTCACACAGTGCCTATCATACTATAGGTGTGATAGTTAATTTTATATGGCAATTTGACTGAATTATGGGATGCCCAGAGATTTGGCTAAACATTATTTCTGGTTGTATCTGTGAGGGTGTTTCTGGATAAGATTAGCATTTGAATCAGTGAACTCAATAAAACAGACTGCCCTCTCTAACGTGGGTGCACAGCATTCAATGTTTTGAGAGTGTGAATAGAACAAAAGGAGGGAGAAGAAAGACTCTGCCCCTTCTTCTGCCTTACTGCTGAGCTGAAACATCAGTCTTCTCCCGCCCTCCAACTGAGACTAATACCACCAGCTCTCTGGTTCTCAGGCCTTTGGACTTGGACTGAATCATATCACTTGCTTTCCTGGGTTTCCAGTTTGCAGGTTTCCAGCTGACAGATCAAGGGGCTTCTCAGCCTCCATAATCACGAGCCAGTTCCTTATAATAAATCTCTATTGGTTCTCTTTCTCTGCAGAACCCTGACCAATACAGTAGGCATTCAATAACTATTTTCTTTCTTTTTTTTTTTTTTTTTTTGAGACAGAGTCTTGCTCTGTCACCCAGGCTGGAGTGCAGTGGTGCGATCTCGGCTCACTGCAGGCTTCACCTCCCAGGTTCATGACATTCTCCTGCCTCAGCCTCCCGAGTAGCTGGGACTACAGGCGCCAGCCACCATGCCCAGCTAATTTTTTGTATTTTCAGTAAAGATGGGGTTTCACTGTGTTAGCCAGAATGGCCTCGATCTCCTGACCTCATGATCCGCGCACCTTGGCCTCCCAAAGTGCTGAGATTACAGGCGTGAGCCACCACACCTGCCCTCAATAACTATTTTCTAAACATATAAATAAACATCCCTCTACCTGTCCTATTCTCTTCCCACCTTTACAGAAACCTTTTACTATCAACCACTCTCTCTCAAATATATCTCTACAAACAATTAAACATGCTGTAGTGTCTCGTAGCTTAAACAAATATACCAAAAAGAAAGCACAGAACCTTCTCTTAGGAAACAAAATACACCTAACACCCAAGCCAACTTTCTTAAAAGCCCAATTCTTCTTCTTTTTTTTTTTTTTTTTTTTTGAGACAGAGTCTTGCTCTGTCACCCAGGCTGGAGTGCAGTGGCGAGATCTCAGTTCACTGCAAGCTCTGCCTCCCGGGAGCTGGTACTCCTGTCTCAGCCTCCTGAGTAGCTGGGACTACAGGTGCCCGCCACCACACCCGGCTAATTTTTTTTTGTATTTTTAGAGACAGGATTTCACTGTGATAGCCAGGATCGCCTCAATCTCCTGACCTCAGGTGATCCGCCCAACTCAGCCTCCCAAAGTGCTGGGATTACAGGCGTGAGCCACCACACCCGGTCAAAAGCCCAATTTCTCAGAAGACTTGTCTTTACTCACTCTCTCCATTTCCTCACCTCCTAATCATAGGTTGCCTGAGTTCAAATGCCAACTCTTCAATTTACTGGGTATGTGAATAATTTAGGCTAGTCACTTAACCTTTCTGAGCTACAATCACCTCATTGGTAAAAAGGGACAATGATCTATCTCCCTGTAAGGTTCTTAAGAAGAATGAAACAGAAAAGGTAAAACAAACTTAGTACAATGCTTAACACAGAGTAAGCATTTAATAAAGGCTGGCTGCTACTATTCTTGTTAAATGATTGTTTTCAGTCTTCATTATCCTTGGTTCTAGGCCCTGATATTCCCCTTTCATGTTATATTCTCTCCCTAACCAATTCTGTCCACAACCAGTTTTAATTAACATCACAACACGGATGACTCGCAGATTTGTATTTTCAGTTCAGATGTTTCTTCAGAGCTTCAGACTCACATATTCAACTGCCTCTTTGACAGCTCCCCTTGCACATATCAAAGGCATCTCTAACATAGCAAGTCTAAAATGGCATTCATAATCTGCCCCCCAACTTAACCACCACTCCCCTTCACTAGCAACAAAACCCCAGTTGTGTAAGCTATAAATAGAGGAGTTATTTCTAACATATCCCTAAAAATTATTTCATTTCCTTCTACATCTATCTTCTCTACAACCATAGCCCTAATTCAAAAGACATTAGCTCTCACCTGAAAAAGCCTCCTAACTGGTCTCCCAGTATTTACTTTCCTCCCCTCCAAACCATCCTCCAAGCAACTACTCTGAGTCCTTCCAATCATTTATAACATTATAGTTAAGAGTATACTTCTGTTACATCTGTTATACTGCCTTATATAGAGAATTAAACAGACCTGAGATGATTCTCTGACCATTAAGTGAATCTCAGCGAGTCTAAGATTATTCTCATGGTGAAACCTCGTCTCTACTAAAAATACAAAAACTTAGCCAGGTGTGGTGGCGGTGCCTATAGTCCCAGCTACTCGGCAGGCTGAGGCAGGAGAATGGCGTGAACCTGGGAGGCAGAGCTTGCAGTGAGCCGAGATCGCACCACTGCACTCCATCCTGGGCAACAGAGTGAGACTCCATCTCAAAAAAAAAAAAAAAAGATTTTTTTTCTAGCTGGGCAATCTTTGGCAAATTATTTAGCCTCTCCAAGCCTTTATCTGAAAAATAGAGGCTGTAGTACTTAACCTCCTTTATTGTTGTGAAGATAAAATTAATAATGTCATTAAGAAGTTTAATTAAATTTTTGTGGCTTGCAAAGGGCTATGCAAATGTTAGCTAGTAAAACAAGCTCAGCAAAACTTCCCCACCGCTTGAGTCCTGGTCCTCATCTCTCACATGGCCTGTTCTAACAGCCTCTAACTAGTCCCTATCTACCTCCAAATGCCCACAGCCCAAAGTATGGCTTATTGAAGCCTCAAGAAAAGTCAGCTAAATCTGGCCTTCTTTTAGTATTCTAGTAGTAAACTATGGATTGGGTCCAAATTCCTTTGAACTTGGAATATGACCTAGCCCCTACCTACCTTCCCAGTCTCTTCCACAATAATTCTCCCAAGTGCATTTTACTCAAACTCATTAGATTACATGAATTAGCTGTCCTACTATCTCTCTTGGGCCTGTTCCTTTGAACTAGTTTCTTTGCCTCTGTTTTCAGCGCTTATGTCTACACCAATTACTAGTTATTCTAATTTTACAGAAGAGGACACTATGGTTGAAAAAAGTTAATTGGCCAGTATCACCTAGGCTGGTGACTGCACAAGATGTCAATGCAAGTGTTCTGTGCACTATATTAGTGCTTCTCAAACTTTTCTGGGATATACTTCTGTTGAAAGACAGAAGCATAACTTCCATCTTATAGGTCAAGGAAGACACAGACCCAAGTTGCTGCTACCAGCTTGGAGTACCATGCTTTACCTTCAAATAAGTCACTGTCAGAACTTTGAACAAATCAAGTTGAGGACAGGAGCCCCTCAAACAGACAGTCCCCTGTACATTAAATCAAAACTATAAATCTAAGTTTGTCTGTTCTGTGGCTGCAAAGTCACTCCACAAAAGTATCTTCAGCCTTCATTTTCACTGTTACCTGCAAGGATAAAGAGACAGTGCCATACAAATGGCTGGAGTTATTATTACTTTGACACAATGAAATAAGCACTACCAAAGTGTTTAGGAAGAGGAGACTAGCTGCCTGGAGGACTCTCTGGGATCTCTAACCTGAAGAAAACTGAAGACAAAAGGAAACCCAGGGAGCCTAGGTGAAATTTGAGTTTTGTTAAGACAGCACTCACTTTTCTAGAGTATGATTCCTCAACTTGGGCACCAATTGACTAATGGAGCAGATAATTCTTCATTGTAGGGGGCTGTCCTGTGCATTATAGGATGTTTACCCTCTACCTGCTAGATGCCAATAGCATCCCACCCCTGGTTGTGACAACCAAAAATGTCTTCTGATGTTGTCAAATGTCAGTTAGGGGACCAAACTGTCTCCAGCTGAGTGCTCCAGAAAAATCCCTGGTATATCCTTTTACTGAGGAGTGAACATTAGATATGAAAGCTCAGACTTTAGACTCTACATAGGAAAGCAACGGGAGAAAACAGATCTTTCTATATTTACACAGGGCACTAGGATAAAAGAAAGAAGTATCTGATGCTTCTCAAAGGTCTTTTTCCACTAGGAAGTAAAGTAAGTGGAATATAATTTAAGTTTCTTACTAAGAAATTTGGGGTGAGGCTTCAAAATCAACCAGGCATTTAAGACTGTACTTCTGGGCATTAGGAGGGGAAGGCACAAAAGGAGAAAGATTCTTTTAGGTTGATTCTCCACTTAGCCGGCTACAATATTTGGCCTTTAGCCTATAACACAGGGGTATAAGGAGATCGCTCAACATGACACCATCTCCACTTTGACACTGTATAAATGAGCACAAACCTCCTCTATTCCTTCAGCCATGACCCAACAGGAATACTGCAGAAGCACATGCAAACATTCAAATAGTCACAAGAAAACAAAAAGTTGTTTTATATGAAGCCAGAGACTTCAACATCTGCAATTCCAAAAGCTTGGCTTTTGTATTTAATAAAATGCAGCTCACTACCCTTGGCAGCCATTCCCTTATTGTTTGCTAATAAATAAGAATGCACACACATACGATGGGTTTTCAACATTTAAGAAACTTTTGTTTTTACTTAAAAAAAAATCAACTCTGCTTGCTACATTTCACTATTATTGCTTTTCAGCTTCTAAAATTATAAGTTTTAAGCAGGCTTCTAAAGATATAGCTAAAATGTTGGATAGTTCATATAAGCTGGAGTGTCATGAGCCTCAGATTTCCCATTTGTAAAGTAGGCAGAAATAAAATTTACTTCTTAAAGTTGCTGTAACGATCAAATGAAGTCCTGTGTAGTCAGTATTTGGGCACGTAGAATATATTCAATAAATGGTTATTATTAGTACTGTTAAAACTATTAAATAACAACTTCTCTGAATCTCCTGTTTCCTCTATACATTCTTGGGGAAGGAAACACATATGTTTTGGAAAGGCGGTAAAATAGTTCATAAACATATCTTACATCTAGATGCAAAAAAAGATAAGTGTCATTTGTGATGATAAAAACAGAGTAGAGGAAAAAGAAAAAGTGGAAATATTCTGTGTTTTAAGTAGAAATTTGAAAAAAAAAAAAAATTCTAACGTTAATTACATCTGGTATCCAGTAGCTCATGATAGGAAATCCAATGTTCCTTTCCATCGGAAAAAAAGAAAAAGACGAAAGAAAGGGGAGGAAGAGAGGAGAATAAAAAGCAAAACCAAAGCAATATTATGACAGACTGGAAGAAGCCTTACACAAAATACATTAAACAATGACAATATTCTCCTCTTTCAAGATCAGCAGTAAAAGGTCAGTCACCTTCCAAAGAAGCCTGGGTTTGCACATCACTGTTTATCTACAATTTCAGTGAAGACAATTTTTCTTCCCAGTAGCCAAAACTACAGTTAGGTGAGTTAAGATATACATTAATAAGGTGCTGCTACACTATGTTCAGCTCTTCCTCAACAAAATTTGCAGTTTCTGGAACTGTAAATTTTAAAAATGCTTTATTCAACTCAACAGCAGCTCCACTGAAATTATGAATTCAAAAAGTATTAATAACAAATCCAAAATGTCTGGATTTCCCTAAGAAAATGTCAACTCCCTTCCTAGAAACCTACCCAAAGAAAAGGCAAATGTTATTTAATTCTTATTCTCTGGAGTAAACATGGATCTTTAATCAAGGGCCAGGTAGCATCAACAGCTGGTATATTTCTAAGTACCTCCTTAAACGGCCCGCAAACTATAAACTTAAGAGCGTCATGACAAAACGACAGCGAAATGAGCATACTCACCCCCACCCTCCCCACCCCCACCCCCACCCCCGCACGCTAATAGCTCTGCAACAAGACTCGGTCTTTCAGCTGGCTACTGGCCAGCCAGCCAGAAAATGTGTACTCCAGTTTCGACCCTTCTAGGGATGAAATCAAGGAAGGATAGAGGGTCTTGGGGAATTTTAGCCAACCCCTTCATTCTACGGAAGAGCCTGAAGCCGCGGGTGCAATTAACTTTCTCAGCCTTTTCGTTTTGTGGCCTCCTGATCCTAAGTACACACGGCGCACACCCGACCCAGGAGGAGCCAAAAAGGCACGGGCCCTGAGTCAGACTACATGCAACCTCACCCAGCTTCTCTGCTGTTTGTCTGACCTTGTGCACGTTAACTTCTGCGTCTCAATTTCCACATCTACAAAATGGGAACCAGAAGCTCCACACCCCATACTGTTCAGAGTCGACGGGCCGAGACGCGCTCCCCGGCTCGGGTGGGCGCTCCGCCCGTGGGCTCCCACCTGGACGCTGGGGAAGGCGGTCTTGAGCAGGTAGAACATCTTGCGGTTGGACAGCACGTCGCCGCTGGTCATCTTGTCCTCGGCTCCCTCGCGCGTCTTCCCCTTGGACTTCTCGTGGAGGACATTGCTCTCGCGGACTCGCCTCACCTCGTCGCCGCCGCGGACTGCGGCCAGCACTGACACAGCCAGCATCTCGCGCAAGTCCACGGTGCCCCCGTCGGCCGCGGCCGCGGGTCCCGCCGCGCCGCCGCCAGGCTCGCTGCTCAGGCCGAAGAGGCTGAAGCGGCCAGCCAGGAAGCCCGAGTAGAGGTGGTAGAGCACGCCGAGCCCCAGCAGGCAAAACACGGCCACCCCCAGTGGGGAAAGGCGGATGCCCATGGGTGCCATGGCGCGGGAGGCCGGGCGCTCCGGGCTGCGGCTCTCACAGGCCTCCCCGCGCCCGCCGCCGCTGCCGCGCTCCGGGCCAGGCGCCGCGCGGGCTACACCGGCGTCCGCTCCCCCGCCCCGGTGCGCCCCATCACTCACTCCCAGGAAAGGCCAAGCCGCGCCGCCGACAGCACGGACACCGCCCGGCGCGCCTGACTCGCCAGGCAGCACGGTCTAGGCTCTTCCGCGCCGGCCTGCCGGTCCGACTTCCACGTTAGCCTACGGCCGCGAGGTGAAAGGGGAGCGTGGGTGTGTATCCGGGTTACGCGACGGGGCGGGACGAGGGCGAGGGGCGGGGAGAGCTGGGCACCTCCCTTTGGGGCGGGGCGGGACGGGAGGCGCTGGACTGAGCTGCCTTCCTTGGTCTGGGTGGGAAGGTATTCCTGGAAGCGGCGAGCAGCAATCCACGCAGGAAAGTGTGCTGTGCTGAGTGCCTTGTGGATGTTTAAATTAAATGTTCCATTGTACGACTATGGATGGCTGTAATAAAGTCACAGTAACAGTCTAGTCTTCTCATCACTCAGATTATTGAGGAATGGAGGAAAACACAATAAACCATTTTAAAAGATTGATTTGCAAGCTTTTTTAGCCAGCGGGGGTGTAGACAGCCTGTACCTTTAAGTCGCTTCTCCGCGCTCTTCCCGGCAGGACGGGGGACTGGGCGGTGAGGGGAAGAATTGTACTTGGCTCTTTATTCTGTTTGACATCTTTGTCGTGCCGTAAATGCTTTTTTGTGTATAGAGTTTCCCTCCTCCACCTGCCAGAATAAACCATCTTCGAAGCAGCTGAAAAACATGCCTTGATCCCGGTTTTTCATAATGAGAGAAAACAAACCAGGGGCTTCTCTCATTTCCAAGGGTATTCGAGCCTGGCTCTCTTACCAGAGCTTGAGGAGCAAAGGAATTGCTTGACAGAGTCCACTTAAAATATGTATATCCGGAGATGGTCAATCTAGAGCATGTAATCTTTGAGTCAGTGTAGGCCCTCTAAGAATCTGACAGAAATAACTACCTTCTACTATAACACCGATCTTAGCTAGAATGATAGTGAATACTTCATAAGTATTCATAAGTTTATCTTTAATCTTAAAAGTGAATATTAAGATTGTAACATTAAGTATCGTTCTTAAATATTAAAATATCTATATAAAATCAACTTAAAATGTAGCCTGTTTTACTCTTCATAGCAAAACAGCATTGGTTTTAAGTGGACTTTAGAATTAACCACCTGAAAAACTACAAGTATACCAAACTTCTAAACATCCATTGCTAAGCAAGTCATGTAGAGCCTGACCTTTACCGCTTACTTAGAGTTCAGGGCATCTGTAGAATTTGCATATGATAATACAGATACAACAAAAGCACTGACTATTGATTGTTTGGTTTCCCTGCTAGCAATCTAAGTAGCTTAAAAATAATCACAGCACAAAATCAAGTACAAATACAAATCAATGAAAGAACAATCCCTAGAGTATTGACAGCACCAGAACTTAAAGAACTAGCATTACCTTTCTTGTCAGCTTTTGAGAGCAACTTTGCAATGAAGCAAAGCTGCTTTCAAGTATCTGAAAGTGAATGTCACAGAGTAATTCTCAAAACCCATCCCAGAGATAAAGATAAAGATCAGGGTTGAAATATAAAGGTTTAAGTTAAATGGAACCACCCCAACCTAAACTATGAGAGCAACAAAAAGATGAGTTGGATAGTAGTCATGTCAATATTAAAAAGCATCATTGGGAAGTCTAACTGAGGTTTCTCAAAATAAACGGATTAATATTTTCCAAGGATATTGGCGAATAATATAGGGTCACATTCAGTGTGGCAGTATACACAGTATACCACTGAGGCAAATACTAAAAGCTCTGGAGCATTTCTACTGCAAAAAAGGAAATTAAGACTTGAGGGAGAAAATGCGAAGGTATGTGAAAAGAAGGAGTCACTTTAAAGATTGTAGCTCCAAGAGGCGTTCTAGCACTCAAGTGGTAATTGATCATAGAGAATCAGTATTAACAGATAACATGTAGTCAACAAGAGAAGTTATGACAATAAGAAAACATTTGATTAATTACATGTGGTACAGTGATATCATAAAACCTTTATAGGAATTTGATTGAAAGAAACTTGTTTTTTTAGTGTCAAGTTGTCAGAAGCTTCAAACAATGCATACATACAAATGAAAATTATATGGCTTTCATATATTAAGATTGTGGACAGTCTGTTTCTAAAACATAATCTACATCTATTCTTAAAATTGTTTTCCCCAAGATTTAGAAATAAACAATTAAATGTGTTAACTTTTTAAATTAAAGCAAAATAATTATGTAGGCTGATGCAAGTAAGACAACTTGAATCTGCAACTAGAAACTATACCCAATGAAAAACCCTGCCTTAAAATAAAAGATAGACAAATGGATATATTTTTACTTGTTTTAGGTTCAATTGTTAAGATGACTAGTTTTTTTCTGTAATTCCCCACTTTAATTCAGTTTTCTCAGTTAACTGGCTCACACTAGTTCTGATTACATCAGGCAAAGGACCTCTTCTAAATGTCTGCATAATGCTACCTTTCCTACAAATAGCAGTTTTCCTTATAGTCTCCATGTGTACAGAATAAATAATATCAATTTATGAAACATTATTAGCATCTGAGATGTTAAGGACATTTTGGTTCCTTTCAATGACTCCTGACTTCAAATTTACCCTGGAAAAACTTTTTTATAAAAATTAATCTTGGCCGAGTGCAGTGGCTCACCCATACGCCTTTGGGAGGCCAAGGCAGGTGGATCACAAGGTCAGGAGTTCAAGACCAGCCTAGCCAACACAGTGAAACGCCGTGTCTACTAAATATACAAAAATTAGCCGGGCACAGTGGCACACACCTGTAATCCCAGGTACTTGCGAGGCTGAGGCAGGAGAATTGTTTGAACCCAGGAGGTGGAGGTTGCAGTGAGCCGAGATTGCCCCATTACACTCCAGTCTAGGCAATAGACCGAGACTCTGTCTAAAAAAAAAATTTTTTTCCTTTAAATATGCATTGGAGGGGTACAATGTAATTAAAGAAAGGTTCAGCTTAGTTGAACCCTCTTTAAAAGTGTTTTTACTACCTTTCTGAGAAAGAAAACAATGAACTGATGGCATTTTACATGTTTAAAATATAAAACTTCCAAGAAGATTATTATTTGCATATTCTTTCCTTAAGTGATTCTATCCTATAGAAACAATAATTTTGTTTTTTTAATGGATCCAGTGATACAATGTTTGCTTCTGCCATTAAAGTTCCGTCTTTGGCAGATAATTGAAGTTCAGAAAAGTGGCTTTCATATATCAAGATTGTGGATAGTCTTTTTCTAAAACAGAATCTACATCTATTCTTAAAATTGCTTCCCCCAGATTTAGAAATAAACAATTAAATGTGTAACTTTTAAAATTAATGTAAAATAATTTTGTTAGCATTATAGCATTTTACTATGGCCTCAATCCTAGCAATAGTAATATTGAATTCTTGTTGGAGACAGTTCTGTAGGTATAATCATACTTTGGTATCTGCAGGGTTTGGTTCCAAGACCCACACAGATACCAACATTTGAGATGCTCAAGTTCCTTATAAAAAATGATATAGTGTTTTCATATAGCCTACACACATCCTCTCATTTACTTTAAATCAACTCTAGATTAGTTATAATACCTAATACAATATAAATGGTAAATAGTTGTTACACTGTATTGCTTATTTGTATTATCTTTACCATGGCATTGTTATTTTTACTGGTATTTTTTTCCAAATATTTTTGATCTTGTTGGTTGAATGCATGGATGTGGAACCTACAGATAGAGAGGGACCACTATATATACAATAGAAAAGTGGAAATAGTTGCAACCCTTTGAAATTATAATCACTCTGATCCATATGCACGACATAAAGCCAGGTAAGTAATTTGCATATCTTTATATCTTCTGACCTAACTCAGATCCTATGCATATAGCAAGAACTCAGTAAGTATTTATGAAACTGGACTTTTAAAAGCTACTTTTTAGTGAAATGTTGTATATTTTGTAAAGTGTTTCTCAAAAAAAAAATGAATTTAACAAACATTAAAGACCCAACATTCATTTTGCTTATTCGAAACATTTGTTTCACCAGCATACAAATCAGCCTAAATATATATATATATATATATTTGCTTTGGCATCCTTAAGATATCAAATATTTCTTAACTTTTTTGTTTGTACCCTTCATTAAATCTTACTGCTTACAAAGCATCAATTCAGTGAGTAATGTAAATTTTCCCACATTATATTTTATTCTCTAGGTGATCTGGACATATACATTTTGCTCACTACCAATCTAAAACCTGAGGTAAAATTATCATCTTAAAATATCATTTATTAAAAAAATATGTAGTCCTGGCACAATGGCTCACACCTGTAATACCAACACTTTGGGAGGCCAAGGCAGGTAGATTGCCTGAGCTCAGGAGTTTGAGACCAGGCTGGCCAACATGGCAAAACCCCATCTCTACAAAAAATACAAAAGTTAGCCAGCGTGGTGGTGCATGCCTATAGTCCCAG